CAACCCAATTCCCCCCCACCCCACCCCTCCCCCGCCATTGACACACCCGGGAAGAGCCCGCGGGGACTTGGACCGGGTTTACTCTTAGTTTCTGTTTAATGCCCCCGGGCGGGGCAGGGTCTCACACTTACCAGTTGATGTTGGGCTGTGAGATGGGACCGGATGGCCGCCTCCTCCATGGGTATCACCAATACGCTTACGATGGCACCGACTACATCTCCCTGAACGATGACCTGCGCTCCTGGACCGCGGCCGACATGGCAGCTCAGATCACCCAGCGCAAGTTGGAGGAAGTTCATGAGGCTGAGCGAGTCAGGAACTTCCTGCAGGGGGAGTGCCTGGAGTGGCTGCGCAGACACCTGGAGAAAGGGGAGGAGGCGCTGCAGCGCGCAGGTACCAGGGCCTGGGGCCTCCCTCCTCTCCCCTGGGGCTGGGGCTCCACAAGGAGACAGGACACAGGATCAGTGTCAGACACCCCTCCTGTGGGCCAGGAGACTGAGTCCACCTGGCTTTTAAGATCCAGTGACGCCCGCCCTTCTCTCAGGGACACCGAGGGGTGCAGTCTCTCAGGGACAATTAGAGGGGAGACCAAGCCTGAAGGAACTGAGCAGCGGTTCCCATTGGCCCTGCAGAGGCTCTGGGACCCATGGGGGACCTGCTCCCTGCCCCTCACCCAGTGTCTCTGAGGTCTGACCCCGACTTTTCTGAGTCCGTTGGCCTCCACCAGGACAGGACCAGAAATCCCTTTCTCCGCCTGAGACCTGCCTCCCGCCCTGGGCTGTGTCACTCTGACTAGAACTTTCTAAGGAGGAGAGGTCATCCCCAGATGCTCTGTCCAGGCTGGTGGTGCTTGTGTGCTCCCTCGCCCACCCCAGGTGCCCTGTCCACGCTCAGGTGGTCACATGAGGGCTGCTGGAGGGTCCCCTGACAGTGCCAAGTCCCTGAATTTCCTCCCCCTTCTCCTCAGACCCTCCAAAGACACACGTGACCCACCACCCCATCTCTGACCGTGAGGTCACCCTGAGGTGCTGGGCCCTGGGCTTCTACCCTGCGGACATCAGCCTGAGCTGGCAGCGTGATGGGGAGGAGCAGACCCAGGACACGGAGTTTGTGGAGACCAGGCCTGCGGGGGATGGGACCTTCCAGAAGTGGGCGGCCCTGGTGGTGCCCCGTGGAGAGGAGCAGAGATACACGTGCCATGTGCAGCA